ATGTAGCCGTCGAATGTTGCATATGTCGCGATGAACGTATCATTAATGTATTCGGCGCTTACATGCCTGTTCGAGAGTCGCGGTCAATCCCGTTTAATGTTCTTGATCGATCTTCTGGAAATAATTTCTGGATGGCCTCGCAAGTGACTACATTCTCCCGCATCTCGCAGAAACATCTCCCCGAAGCCGAGGAGGGATGGGGGCAGGAGAGGCATCTCCTGAAGGAGGGGCGGGGGCAGGAGAGGCAGGCGCCGGGCTCGAGCCTTCCCGAGGATCAGCAGGAGAGAGAGAGACCGGACTTGGTGTAGCCCTCGGAGAAGGATAGGAGAAAGGCAGAGAGCCGGCAGCGAAAGGGATCGAGGAAGCGGGAACACAAAATGACAATGGTGAGTAAGAAAAAAAAGTCCCGACACATGCGGCCCTTCCGAAGCACTTCCTAACATGTGCATTCAGATCGCTCACCGCAGGTCTGACGGAGATGTAGCCGTCGAATGTTGCATAGTTCGCGATGAACTTCTCATTGATTTGTTCGGTTATTGTATGCCTAGTCACGGTCAATACCCTTTCTATGTCCACGATCTTCTAAGAAAGATTTCTGGCATCGCGAGTGACTATATTCTCTCGCATCCCGCAGAAACATCTCCCCGAAGCCGAGGACGTCGGTGCAGCGCCGTCGCCGAAAAAGCAGCGAAAAACCCCTTTGGACACCGCAACCGATGATGATATAGTAGAGATTGAGCTGACGCGCGAACAGAAGAAGGGAATCTCGAGAATGATCGAGACTATGTTCGAAGTCTTACTTATGGATCCGAACAAGCAACTGTCCAAGGAGGAGAAGAGTCTGCTCCTGAATGTGATTCACTTCAAAAGTGTAGTCGATACCGATGCCGACTGGGCTCGGGATACTGGCTTTGTGATGAAGGTCGCGTCCATCAATCCCGCTTTCAACGTTTACGTGGTCCAGCGTCTAAGGAACATCCCAGAACTGGCTCGGTTCGAAGCTGCGATGCAGAGGAACAATATGTTTATCAAGGGACTGGCAGGCGATCTAGCGCAGATTATACATAGGCTTTGACTCAACATCGGCAAATGAGGAGTATGCCGGTGCCCTGGTGGAACGGAAGTGCGTCGGTAAAACGTAGGGCAAACCGAATTGAATCCATCTTTATTTGGCATCCAATATTCAGTGTTTGTGAGTCTTTCCAGAATATTTGTGGGGATGTAATTTCTTTGTATGTTTCGTTCATGGTATTTTGCCACGCATATGCCTTGCAATGTCGAAGTGGGGTCGCACCGTCATTTCTTACCCATTGACCGAAGAAACATTTCACACATGCTGGACGCATTTTGCCTGTCCCTTAAACTGGAACGGATGCACCATTATGGGTGTCAGCTAGTTGTGGTTAGATGTGCTAGGACAACAAGAGCTTTCCGCCAGGATGATGAAGTTACAGACCACTAGATCACTAGTGTTCCTCGGGTAGTTTCTCCAGAAATTTACCGAGCTGTTTTTCGTGATCTCTGGGACACGTGTCGCTAGCGGCATCTCCTCAAACGCGCGCGGCGGTTGCTGTTCTCAAGGTACCTATACGCGAACCTGCCATGCACGCGCACACACGCGCAGAAGCCGCTTCTAAGTTACATACTCCCCCTCGCACTGCAAGTTTGTGGGTATGGTACTTCGGTCATATGTACGGTACTTTACAGCTCGGCCGCATGCTCACGCACTTCATCATGCGGGTGTACGGGTGTTATACGATACTTCCGGCTGCAAAACCCGGAAGCATCGTACCAGAAGTGAACTTTTCTTATACCGTACGCGAACGCGTAATCGTACTATACACCGATTTGCTGCCACGTGTAGCCTTAGAGTCAGCAGAGTTTCTTCACTACCCGGTAGCACCAGCTGAGAAATAAACCGGCCACCCTGATCTGTTGTTTTTAACACCCATGCGAGCTGGCGGGGCACACCCTGACCAGCTAGGTTTTGCCCCCAGGTCCTAACGAAGACAGCAAGACGCTTGAAAGACCGAATTGAGACTAGAGCAGACGTCTGTCTTCCAAATTAACGGAAGCATACATCTTCTAATTAAGGCTTTCCGAGCGTTGGCTCCTTTGCTCCTTGTATGGATCTGCACTAATTGGCCTTCGGGGGCACATGCGTGTCATCGGAGGTTAAGACAAACTCGCCTTGCAATCAGCTGTATTCTCACGCCCCAGCACCATGTGCGTATAGGAAGTGCGGCCATACGGTTTGTGTCAAATGCCAGTGCTTGTAGGCCTTCAGGGATTGTTAAGTTACCTCCCGTACTCACGCACTGTCTCTTAAAAATCACTTTTCCGCTTCTTATACACGGTACGCAAGAGATAGTTCTGGGTGCCTTTGATGTCTTTCTTGCGGAGTCGTCAAGCCCTTGTGGACGTTGGCCGTAAGTGCATGAGTGGAACTCTAAGAGCTTATTGCTCATTGAATTTTCCTAGTACCCGAAGCCACCTCTTGAAACGATAACTTTACTTGTTGGTGTGAATTCCCTCCATGTGTGTCCGATTCTTGGTTTTCCCGACTTGCTGCCGCGCTTCTTTAACTTTATATGGGCAACATACGAGCCGGCAATGCTTACGTTGCTATTGCTTGAAAGACCTATTCATGAGTAGAAATAAGGTGCCACCATTTAATCCGGCATAAGCCTCGTCACTGGTGGCCTGCTGCACGGAGTGATATGACGAGCAACCAAGTCGGAATCCTGAAACTGTGTTTACCAAACAGCATGCTTGCGATAGGGTGGCAGACGGGCTATCATTGAGGGTACACAAATTTTAGCACTGGCGTGCTCAGACGAGTCCGCTTCCCCCACGGATGCCACGTGTTCGATCGAAAGCATGCGGGAAAACAGCTTTGCTGCCTGAGTTCCTATCGTTTTCATTGTTTGGGTTCCTCTAGTATATCCGTGTGGAAGCTGCTCGCAATGATACTGTATCGCCGCACTTTTCTGCACGGGTATAGCGTAAGGGCCGTTCTTCATGTTCGATCTGATCACACATGCAAAGTTGGAGATGATTCGCGGACGCTGTACTGGCATGCATGCTCTACATGCGTGACATGCCTACGAACATGACATAGTTGGCGCCATGCATCTATTAAGCGGCCAAAAGGCGCCGTTCAATTTTGGAGCCGGAGCAGGCCATGACAAGCGCACCAATGATGTGCGCCAGTGCTAGTCCACCGGGGGGGTATATTTGCATGTGCATGGTGGAGGTTTGATATGCAGCATACTTTGCCAAAAACATCACTGCCAGTGATGATTCACGCATGTACCAATCCAAGGGCATCGTGTTGATCGACCGTGTCTATCCAACAACCGTTGTTGGTTGTTGATGCAGACACTCCGAAATTCGGGTTCCGTAATACGAAATGTAGGATTCTAGACAACGATCGCATATGCTGTCTCGTCATAGATGAAAGTTTTCATCATTGTGCCGGATTACTAAACATGTCCGTGAAGAACAGTGTCCTATAAGAGACTTACTTGTCGACGAATATGCGCAAACCTGTGGATAAATTAGCGCTGAGGACAACGGAACCCTTTTGCAGTCAACAAGAACACCCCGAACGAGCAAATAACTTTTAAACGAAGAACACGTATAGTCAAAACAACCTAGCTGTCTAATCGCCGAACAACACCGAACATATGCATGTTTTTAATAGGTTCCAACTATGCAACTATGCTACTCACTAATCCCGAAAACCACATTACGGTCACAAGGAATCCGTAGCATTTCAATAGGCTCTGCACTGTAAGAGTGTCTCTTGGACAGTCGGACGCGGTTTGTTTGCAACAAACCAAAGCAGAGAAGCAGCCAAACTCCTTGAAGCTAGATCACGTGACCTTGGTGTTTCACAAATCTCGAAGCCAACAACATTATGCTCTTACGAGACGGGCGCCCTCTTGACGAAAAGCTCAGGCTAACAAACTATAAAGATACGCTGACGAGTCCTCCCACTCTTATACGGGAGTCATCTCTAAAACCCGAATTCAATGCCGATGCCAGCCAAGCTGCGCTCCCACGCCTCGCCGCCGGGTCTGTCCGCAGGCAACCAGCGCAACGTGGATGTCATTCGCGCCGCCTCCGCATCGCAGGCCCCAAGGGCCGGGTCGACCACTTCCACAATCTTTCCCTGCCTAATCATATCCGTCGCCACTATGAAGAGCCGCTCCACCAATCCGCTCTCGAGCCAGCGTACCACTGGGCGCCCGAGATCAGCTCCAAAGAGAGCATACCAAAGCTGTAGACATCACATCTTAGTAGTACCCCGAGATGGCTTGAACAGCTAGGAGGAAAGCAGCTCCAGCAACAACCCCACCAAAACTAGGTCCAATTGGAGGGGATGGTGATGTTGATGGCTTAAGAGCTGGACAATATGGAGAAGCTCCACATGGATAGTATGAGCTGAAAACACAGTTGCTGCAGCACAACTCCGGGTTTCCAGGATAGAAACTCGAGCCGTAAAAAAATTTACCGCAAACAGTTGGGGGTATTTGCCCGGAGAGGTTGTTGTTACTAAGCTTTATGAATCCTATTCCGGTCAGGTTGCCGAGCTCAGCAGGAATTGCCCCAGATAGGCTGTTGTTGGTGAGCCAGAGATCAGTCAGGTTGGTCAGACTACCAAGCTCCCCGGGGATTGCGCCGGATAGTCTGTTATTGTGGAGACGCAGCCAAGTCAGGTTGGTGAGACTACCAAGCTCGCGGGGGATGGGGCCGGAGAGGTTGTTGTTGTCAAGGTAGAGGATGCGGAGGTCGGTCATGTTGCTGAATCTGGGGGGTATGAGGCCGGTCAGGTTGTTGTTGCTAAGGGCGAGTATTTGGAGTTTAGTCATGCTGCCAAGCGCGGGCGGGAGGGCACCGGAGAGGTTGTTATCGTCAAGGTCGAGACTTTGAAGCGTGGTCAGCCTGGCAAGCTCAGGAGGAATGGGACCAGAAAGGTTGGTGTTGGAGATGCGGAGATCAATGAGATTGGTCAGGTTGCCGAGCGCAGGCGGAATGGGACCAGAAAGGTTGTTCTGAGAGAAGTAAAGCTGGAAAAGGCTGGTCATGCTGCCGAGTTCAGGAGGAATGGGCCCGGAGAGGTTGTTGTTGGAGAGGCTCAAGTAAGTAAGCTTGGTCAGGCTGCCGAGCTCGGGAGGAATGGGCCCGGAAAGCTGGTTGTTACTGAGGGAGAGACTGGTAAGGTTGGTCAGGCTGCCGAGCTCCGGGGGAATGGGCCCGGAAAGGCCGTTGGAACTGAGGTAGAGAGTGGTAAGGTTGGTCAGGCTGCCGAGCTCAGGGGGAATGGGACCTGACAGGTTTCTCCCATATCCAGTATATATATAGATACTACTTTGATTCCAAAGGGGGCCCTGGACCAAATTGGCAATCTGCTCAATAGTGAACGAGTGAATACCACTCATGAGCCCGCACCCAAAGAGGGCAACCAGGATCAGCATCCTCACACACTTTGAAGTCCGTGCAACCATGGCCATGGACATGTGGCTTCAAGAATGACCGAGGAGTCAACCTACATAAGAAAGACATCCGGTCAGAGTGGCGGTTTCTTGCTTTCAATCGTTGGAGGATGTTTTCAATGGTATTGCAGAAGGCCTTTTTCTGGCGGGCATTTGAAAGCTTTCCCTATTGAATTCTTGACATTGGAAAGCATCAATTGAGGATGTTTAGGAGTGATTAAGGATATCTTTGTCAGACACTTTGCAAACTATACAATCTTAAGCTAGACTCTTGAAACGAGGGTCTTGCACAGAAGACCCTCCCCTCTGCCGTAAGCTTCCAACTCCCACTAATTTATGCTCAATGCGCCGGCGCCTCCTCAACACAAGTGCTAAGCATGTAAAGCAACACAAAATCAACCAATGTAGGCAACATGCGACAGCCACACCGCGGAGTTCCGAGGTGGCAGTAAAAACGGCAAAATGTGAAGACTCACCTTCTGAGATTCCTGCACCGACCAATTTCTTTCAGTTCAGTCCTGCGCTGTTGCCAAGATTAATTGCACTAAGAGAGGACCGACCTGCAGCTCGTGCACCAATGCCTATGAAAGCAGCCCGGCGCGACCGTCGGGAGCTTTCAGTCATCACTGAGCTTGCACATTACAGACATCACAGGGTCAGCCCTACTACTCTTCCAATTCTGCTGCAATTGCAACACTCTTGTAGTAAACGGTTCCTTACAGCAGTTTTACAAAAACCATTGAATCGGCGAGGGGGCGGCGGCGAGGGCTATCCCTACGTTTGGATCACGTGGCACCCCCTCCATGCCACCGTGGCTGCGTCTGAAGTTTTAGGGCACTTTAAGAGTGCGCCCCACTGGCAGGCTCCACGTGGCAAGCGCTCCAAGTTCCAACACCAGGTGCGGCGCACTTATGTCAACATGCAAGTTGTGGATGTCAACATGCGAATTGGAACCCACTCTTTGCTCCCGAGTCCCGACTTCTCAAACTGGGCTCAAACTGCAGTGGGCCCAAGCGTGCAATGGTTGTCGTTGACTTTCCGAGGTGGGTGCCACGTGTCCGGGCGGGTGTGCGCGAGTGGGCGCGCGCATGGTCTGGACAGACAGCATCACTTAAGGCTAGGGTCACGTCCCTTGTCCTTAAGTCCTGGGGCATGTCCAGGCTACTTAAAGCCATTCTCCTTTAAGTCTTGTTCCTAGACCCTACTGGGACCTACCAGGCTAAAGAGGGTCGTCCAATCAGTATTCGTCTAGACGAGGAGCTGGGGGTGTGATATCCGGTTCCAAGTCTTATTAAGTCCTGTCCGGGGTCTTCGGAGTTTAAGGCTAAGGGACGGGGACCGGGATGCTCTCTTTTAAGTGGTGGTCAGTTTGACGTGTCATTCACCGGGTGGCTGCAAGTTGCGTCTAGAGGCTGGGGGTCCGGCCCCTCGGGATTCGAATCGGGCACGTGGCACCCCCTCCATGCCACAGTGGCTGCGTGTTCCGATTCCATGCACACTTGTCCCGACAAATAAGGAGTGCTAAGTGTCCTAAACTTTCGGACAGGTGTGCAGGCATACACTGAGCACACATGCTTGACAGGATCCGGGTTCTACGAGTGCAATGGATTCGACGGTTGCATGCCGTGCACGCGGCAGATCTTGCTTGACCAGATCTTTCGAGGACCAATAAAATAGCCCCGGAATCGTTTCACATGTGCCACGTCTCCTGAAAACTCGGAAAGTGAGCTCAGTATGTCCGAGTTTTTAGGGCACGTGCGCTTCCAGCTAAGCTGCAGTCTTGTCAGTATACAAACCGTAACCTAGGATGTCTATGGTGCTGCCTGCACTATCTAAGACTCTTTGTCCGGAATTGAAGAACACACAGCACTCTGAAGTTAAGGTTTCTACACGCGGGTCCGCTTGCCGCTTCCTAGAAGCTTTGAGGGAGAGCACATTAGTGAAATCCGAGCTTAAAAATGGCTCTCTGTCAACATCCACGTCGCGACCTGGGCGCGCTATGTGAGTGACACGTGACCCCCTCAGGCCCCTGGGGACATACCCATTTTTTCTCCCGGTACCCCTTCTATGCAATATGGTGCGTACCTGTGCGCATTTACGCCTCAGAAAGCACCGGGCTCACGCCTTGGAGTGTCCCCGTGCCACAGCCAACGGCATTGCGCCGCGTAGCAGAGGCGGCTAACGCCTTGGAGTGTCCCCGTGCCACAGCCAACGGCATTGCGCCACGTGACAAAGGCGGTCTAACCGGGATCCGCCGGAAGCAGTCCCGGTAGGTACCCACATTGCCCCCGGTACCCCTTTTATGCTCGATGGTGCGTACCTGCCACCTTCTAAGGCTGCCGCCAAGCCGCCCGCGCCGCGTCGCGGCCTGGGCGCGCTATGTGAGTGACACGTGACCCCCTCAGGCCCCTGAGGACATGGTAGGTACCCACTTTTGCCCCCGGTACCCCTTCTATGCAACATGGTGCGTAACCTGTGCGCATTTACGCCTCAGAAAGCACCGGGCTCACGCCATGGAGTGTCCCCGTGCCACAGCCAACGGCATTGCGGCGCGTGGCAGAGGCGGCTGGCGCCTTGAAATGTCCCCGTAGCACAGCCAACGGCATTGCGCCACGTGGCAAAGGCGGCTAGCGCCTTGAAATGTCCCGGTGCCACAGCCAACGACATTGTGGCGCGTGGCAAAGGCAGTATCACCGGGATCCACCGGAAGCAGTGCCGGTGGGTACCTTTACCCACGGTATTCCTTTAATGTTGAGTGGTACGTACCCGTAGCCTCCGAAGCCGGGCGCGGAGCCGCCAGCGGAGCCGCCCGCGACGGAAGGCGGCCTAGGTGCGTGAGATGAGTGACTGTCAGTACTCAGCGCTTGGCTTTTGGATACACACAGTCAAATTTATCGGAGGTTCGAACATTTTTTGTTAGAACCTCTAACTTTTTATTGACAGAACAGTTCACAACAGCGCGTCCCACATCTGGCGACTATTGCGACTATGGCGTCCGATGACCAGTGGTGCAGTGCTCAATCCATACGGGCCCAGCTCTTTGTAGTTGTGTGGTGTGAGATCTACCTTCTGAGCTCGCAACCATGTCTGCAACAACCGAAGTTGTGATTGCACGCTCTCCTGTGATGATGCTGCCATCTCCTCCAGTCGGCAAGATAAGGATTGCATACAGACCATGCAGCTTCTGAGGCCGGGCGCGGACGCTCTGGTCCCAATTGCAAATATGTAAGGCCATACCTGGGAAGATACCCTAACATGATAGTCCACTTTTCCGGGAAACAATATAACAGATTAGCAGTAGGGCAGTTCCCATCTGGGTCCCAATTGCAATCGTCACAAGAGATGTGTATCTTTATTATATCCAAGGCAGCCCTGCTAGACGGCCTATCTTCTCGACAACCTCCTTAGGTAACCACCACCTCTTCTCCAATGCAACAACTACTGCTACTTGTTTCAGGACCACTGATTTGGCAAGCTCTAATGACTCCTTATCCAAGCAGACGGCGTAGTTTCCATGCAAGCCGAGCGCACTTTGGTCCGGAAACAGCCAGGCCTGGTCTCAGGATGTGGCCAACGTGCCCCTGCTCCAAAAGCATCCGAAAGAGGAGCATGCGATCCTCTCGAATTGCGAGGCCACACAAATAATTCGTCAACCCACATACTTCAAAAACGATGACATCAGCACCCCGGCCCAGCAGCAGCTCGCTGACTGCACTATGCCCTGCCGCAACAGTGCTGTAGAGCGCCGTCCGACCCTTGTCATCCTTTGCATTCACATCAGCACACCGGCCCAGCAGCAGCTCGCAGACGACTGCACTCGTCCCTATATAAGCAGCGCTGTGGAGCGCCGTCTGACCCTTGTCATCCTTTGCGTTGACATCAGCACCGTGGCCCAGCAGCAGCTCGCAAACTGCAATCCTCCCTGCCATAGCAGCCCAGTGGAGCGCCGTCAGACCCTTGTCATCGGTTGCATTCACGTCAGCGCCCCGGCCCAGCAGCACATTGCAGGCTGCACTCTTCCCTCCCATAGCAGCCCTGAAAAGAGCCGTCTTACCCTCTCCGTCCTTTGCATTCACATCAGCACCCCGGCCCAGCAGCACATTGCAGACTGCACTACGCCCTGCCATAGCAGCCCTGTGAAGCGCCGTCAGACCCTTGTCATCCTTTCCATTCACATCAGCACCCCGGCCCCGCAGCACATTGCAGACTGCACTATGCCCTGCCATAGCAACACAGTGGAGCGGCGTCCAACCATTGTCCATTCTTTGCATTCACATCAGCACCCTGGTCCAGAAGCAGCTCGCAGTCTGCACTCTTCCCTACCACAGCAGCCAAGTGGAGCTCCGTCATGTATCGGCTACGTGTATGCCACCCTCCATCTGCATGCATCATTAGACACCCTAACCCGGCCCTTGATACTTTGAAGCCCTGCTTCAATCTTCTGTATTTGGAGAGCGAGGTCTAGAATGACCGCTAGAGAAACTGAGCAATGTGGTGTAAAACACTATTCGCTCTACCTCACTCAAGAGCCCATAGCGATAGTTTCATGTGAAAGTTGAAACTTTTTTCTAAGCAGTAGGCTCTCCTAGCGCGCGGCGGCCACATGTCGCGCCCTGAACCCGTTAAAGGGCGCGGCGGCCACATTCACAGCGCGTGGCGGTCTCAATGTCGCGCTCCAAACCCGTCAGAGGGCGCGGCGGCCCACATTTTCAGGTCGCGGCGGCCCCAATGTCGCTCCCTGAACCGGCAAAGGGCGCGTCGGCCTCAATACGCTCATGGCGCCTTCTACGTCGCGGCGGCCCCACTGTCGCACTCTTAACCCGTTAGAGGGCGCGGCGGACCCGCTTTCACAGCGTGCGGCCGTCCCAATGTCGCGCTCTAAACCCGTTAGAGGGTGCGTCACTTTCAGGACGCGGCGGCCCCACTGTTGCGTTATAAACCCGTGAGAGTCGGCTGTCCGCGCGGCCGGACATTATTATCCTTTGCGTTGCTTTCGAGCGTCGG